AAGATAATGCTTAGGATGCTGTGAGAATAAATCTGTCCTTCCTCTCCATAGCAGTTTACTGACACAGAAGCCTTTGTCCCTGAAAGGGCACATAATAAAGCATGTCTACCACAGGAAAGCTCCTTCGGTGCTGGATAACTCGGTCAATTTAGGACTTATCAAGGGAAATGACACAACAGCTGGAGAATGGAACTTTTTTTTTTTCCCCCCAAGCTACTGATCCCTGGCTAAATGAAAGTGTTTGCCAAGTCAGAGACAGCATGGGACTGGGATGGTGGAAGATTTCAAAGTGTTGTGCAATCCTGCGTGTAGTGAAGCCATTCTCCCAGCGAGACATCTCTATTGTTCTTTACCTCATTCCTCAGACTTCTTAGGTGAAAAGTTTGCAGCACGATAACCCATCAATTTCTGTAAATGCAAGCAGTTGTCCAAGGATGGTGCTAGACTACATTACTATTCTGAACCCTGTATGAGAGTGGCTCCTGCTAGTGCCGCTGTAGCTAAAATCTTGTCAGCATTACAGTAACAAAGCTTTTATTTTCAGGGGTTTATAAACCTGATGTAAAATTCCCTTATGATAGAAATGTCCTATACAAAAAAAAATATTTTCATCCAATAACAGAGAGAGAGAAGAGGTTTTTCTGTTATAAAAATGTAGCCTATATCATTACACCTTGAGTGTAAGAAGCACACGTAGCAACAATATTTTAAAAATACTAGTATATATAACCAGGGACCATGTGAACTCTGCATACAGGTACACATGCTCATAGATTGAGCCTAGTTTTGAAAAAGCTCCACACTCAGCATTGCCCTTCCTGCTGTCAGTGCTGTGTTTTCAGCTCACCTGTGCACACATGCATGCACTGCTTCAGTATAAAGCCAGGGGACGTGTTACTTGGTTTGAAGCAGTCGGCGCAAGGAGAGGAGCCACTCAGGTTTGTAAAGTCTTTGCCTTCAGAGGTGTGATGTTTTCCTGTTACCCCATACACAGTCTATCTAGCATCCCAGTTCTGATTTTCAGAGACACAAAATGGAGCTGGATGTTTATCTGCCCTTTGAGTCTCTGAAATGCAATTGCAAAATTTACAAAATACCACAAATGATAATGACCTCAAAGATTCCCCTGAGTAAAGTGCACTAAGATGGGGGCCTTCCTCACCTCTTTCCTTCCTTCACTTTAAGGCCTCTGACTAAGACTGTTAGGGATGTGACAAAGGACAATTCAGGTGTTGCCAGAGACCTTTCAAAGCAGCAAATGCTATGGTAACTGACAGCTGTGAACCTCCCCATATCCTGTTAGGAATAAAAAGGGAGGTAAGAAAGCTAAGGGTTTGTTTGTTTGTTTGCACATGATTCTAGAGAAATTCTGAAAAGTTCTGCTGGATCCTTCTGGTACCGAACTGTTAAAACAGTGAATATCATGGGAAGTCCTTTCCTGCATGGGAACAATTAGACTGAGCTCACTTTGAGTTGAGATGAGAAAAAACCCCTATGATGTACTTCAGGAATATGGGAGGAGTATCTGTTGACAAAGAGGCTTCATTCTTACATAGCATCCTTGGGAGAAGGAAAGTACTAGCAGAGGTGGACCAGAATATTGAAGCCTTTTAGCCCTGAACTCCAGGGATAAAATTTGTATCAAATCAGAACCACTTCTACTTCAGGCACGATTCAAAGCCCTTTAGAATCCATAGAAGTAGGCCCTTGCTTGCTGTCAGCTCCATATAACTCAAATACTACTACGAAGACCACTCTATTAACACCATTAGATAACAGCAGTGGCCTTATTTACTCTATTGCCATTAAAACGCCATCAATACATAATCTTGAACTCTGTGGACTAACACATGCACATACATAAACATATACAAGATAGATAATGGACTTTGTTTTAATAGGTTCTGGGCTCTCAGAACAGTTAAGTGTTTAGTGCACTTCACATTTTAGGAAGAATGTATTCTTGAGGATTGTAAATAAACCAGTGCTTTTAAAATTAAGTGGATATCCTAGAGAAGGCAGGACAATGCCAAAATGAAAATAAAGAATACAGATCTCATTGAGTGGTAGGCATCTACAGTAACAGCATTTAAAGACTCCCAGTGTACACACAGCTTGGTACAAGAGCAGCTGTTGTGTCTATGAAACCACTGGGTGCTGGAGAAAGTGAGAGTTGTCTGGGACCATTTTAGGCATATGTGTACATATCCTCTAGCAAAAAAGAAGCCACCTAAAATTCCCCTAGATGTTCTGGGGTGTGAAGGTGGGTGAGCAGAGTGGAAGAGAGAAAATCCACATGCTATCCTGCACTGAAATCCCTCTTTTTTTTTCCCTACTGAGGAGAATAATGTTCCCACTTTGAATTATTTTGAAAATCCCCCATGAGGCTGTCAGTGAGTGCAAATTTGCTGTGATTTTAATAGTTAGGGGAAAAACTTGCTACAGAGAAATCAGTGCACCCTGAAGGAGAAAGCAAATGTATGTTATGCAAAGGTCTACCATGGGAGGGATTACAGGGCATGATTTCCCTGGTCTAACAGGAGGAGAAATAGCTGGCAGAGGAAGTCTAATGGCAAGCAAGTTGGGCAAGAGAGCCAGGACAAAACATTGTTAATGGAAAATGAACTGGAACTCAGGGGAAAGAAAGAATAATAATTTGTTTGTGGGAAGCATTTTAATTTTATAGTAACAGATGACAGTCAAATGAATTTGGAAGGAAGCAAGGAACTTCATGGAGAAACAAGTCTCAGAGCATGAGGGAAAACCCGTGATTTCCACAAAGAGAACATATGGTGGAAAAGTTAAAGAAATGAGAAGAGGGATTCAGCTGAGAAGAAGAAAATTAAATGGAAAAAAGGAGGAATAATAATAATTAAGTGAAAACAAAGAGAGAAAGGAATAGATAGGGTGATACAATATAAGGAAATCATAAAGAAGGGACAGGAAGAGTAGAGACAAATCTTGCAGTTCTAGAGCTTCTTTTAACATCTCATTTCTTTGGAAACAACTGTTATTTTTTTGTTTCTAGAAGAACACATGTTGCTGGAGAGGGATGAAGGGGTTAAGATGAGATTAAAGGGAAAAGTTATAAAGAACACAATGACACAGGGGAAAAAAAAGGGCTGGAAATAATAAAGGGAAATATAAAAAAGGAAGGAAACGCACCTTTTTAAAATTAGTAAATGTTTTGAAGAAAAACTGTAAAATCATAATAAAAATATGACTACAATTAAAAGTAAAAGGAATAAAAACAAGAAACATGGAACAATGAAGTTATTAAGGCCCAATTCTGATCCCTTTCTTGTAGTACTTTAGTAATTTCTCTGATGGGAGGAGTTACTCTCTTTAGAGAAACTGTGCAAAACCTTGCCCCAAATAGCTATTTATTTCCTGAAGTTATGTTGCTCTAAGGAATTTGATTAACAGAATCAGATAGTTGAATATGCCTAGTTTTACATGAAGTTTCTTGTACTTAGCAACAATTTCTGGAATATGACCAATCTCGACCGAGGTACTCAATACTAGGGGCTGGAGGACTGGACTGCAGCTTTGGAATGAGTGAGGAAAAGGAAATTCCAATATTCCTGCCTCAGGAGGGGTAAAGCAGTCAAAGTGGTGTTCAGGGGCCACGAGTTGTTTCTTGTTGTCCTCATGCCTATGGCTCTTTCAGGACCACTGACCCATTGCAGGCCTCATCCCACTAAAAGACTTTGAATGGACTTTGGCAGATGCTAGATTTCAATCGTAGGCTTGTTATACAAAGCTCTGCTGCCAGTATGGGAGCTGGAACACTAAGGAAGCTTTGTTCAATTATGGGCCATAGGCTTGATGAAGTGGTGCTCCCTGGCCCTCAGGGTTCTGATGCCAGAAACTGAACGGATTCTGCAAAGGAGTAAAACAGCAATGACTTTCTGTCTGTTTATTTCCCTGTTCGCATGCAAATGGATTTGTAGTCACATGAAACAATTTTCAAATTTGTGAAGATCAATTAAGACTGTTTGTCTAAAAGATGGCATGATCAATGACAACAAAAAGCTGTAAAGGAATAAATGTCTGAATTTTCACGTTTCATTACACAGGTGGTTTGTTCTTTTCCTATTGAACTGACCAAATTTTTATCTTTCTTGTAGGTTCTTCCCACCTTACTAGAAACAAGCAAGTAGCTCTATTGTGCCCTGGCACACTATCACTTGTGTGCCAGCTCAAACAGCTTTGCATGTGCAGAGTTAGCTCCTGTTTGTAGTTGACTACGTGAGCTCAATATCATGCTGGACTGCCATCAAGGATCATGGAGATGACAGTTTTACTTCTGTTTGTATGATGAAACTATGCAAATGGCATAAACTCAATCCATTGGTCTTGAATGGATAGGGACTGGATGAAGCCAGAAAAATAAATTTCAAACTGTTACAGAGCTTTTTATTGATACGTAATTATCATAATGCTATTTTACAGGAAACCCCTATCAATAGCCTCTCCCTCTGGAATGCTTTTAAGATCTGAGTCCCAGTGAATTCATTCCCAAGCAAAATGCTTCCTCAGTCTGATTGCATGAATTCATTGAATTGAACTTTTTTCTGTTTTGAGCAAGGGAGAAACCCTCCAACTTCTTCTCTGTGCCATTCATTAACACAGGTGGGGTACTGACTATGGATAAATTTGCCTGACATTTGCCACTGTAAGATAAATTCTAGGTCAACTGCTTCTGAGAATGATGCTAATAAAATATTGTTGTTCTGCCAGAAATAAAAGACATTTAAATGGTAATAACCTATTTTCTTTAAGAAGTTTCAATTTCTTTGCAACTTGAAGCATGGCCTTGATAGGTGTCAGGGAGATAGTGGTTATGTCAGTAACTGACTTCTTCCAATCCCAAGTAAAAATCTGGCTCCAACAAGCCCAAGCAGATCAGCCTCCAAAGGTCATACCTACTTAGTAGAGGTTTGCTAGACCTCTGTGTGGAGTTATCTTTGAGATTGTCTTTGTACTGAGGATGGTTGAGCCTAGGGCTGAAGTTAAGGAGAAGAACTCACTCCCTCCTCTGGTTGTGGCTCTGGCTGGTTTTGGGCCAGGAGTGTAAAGACAGAGAGAATGACTCTCCTCTGATCTTGGTGATTGTTTTCCACACTGCTTTGCTGGCTTTTAGGGAGGGTGGGAGTGATGTATGCATCATCCGGATGCAGGGAGGACAAAAATTAACCTTGAGTCTGAAGAAAAAGAAATGATGGAAGGAAAAAAAACCCCTGAAGATTACTAAGTAGCAGGGATTTGAGTTTGGAGTGGAGGGAGAGAGCATCTGACTACACAGAGAGTAGTAATCACTGTGGCAGAGGAAAGACAACAGGGAAAAAGAGGGAGGACTAGTGATAAAACAAGGTAGAAGAGGACATAAATTGCCTAACAAAATGTCTGGTAGAAGGGACAGAGAGAGATGGTCTGAGGACAGAGACTGACTGGGTGTTGGAGAGGAACTGAAATGGGAAAAGAAGTTGAGGAATGATGGATGGCAGAGAAAGGACTGCCAGGAGAAGGCAACAGGAACAGAAGCACAGAGGCAAAAGCAGGGAGATTGTGTGGAGAGCAGCTTGATGACGTAATGGGACTGGAACAGAACAAGTTCTACCACAAGTGGTGTAACTAGTCAACTTTGAGAAGAACAAGTAGAAAGCCTATGTGCATTAGTGTATCTCCCCATTTCCCAAGTTGATATTCCTGTGCCTCATACTCCTCTGCTCTCAGCCAAACCTTGAGCACAACATGTATTTTACTCCGTTTAAGGCAGGACCAACAAGATGATAACACAAACTATGAGCTTCTCCATCCATTTAACTGAGAGAAGTTCTCATATTTCCAGCTATGAATATAAGCATTATCTCACCATATGACTTATATTACTATTCTGCTTTAGTAACCACCTTGAAAAGTATCCAAGCAAAAAATGAAGCTAAGAGCATCCTTAGAGTTGCACAAATAAATGCTCAGAAGCTATAAAATGATGGAGCCATAGTAGCTCCCAACACAGTGTAGGACAGTCTCCGAGCCCTGGATTACCAGCTCTTTTTCCCCAGACCCCTGCATCATCCATTGCACAGGATGAACTGTGCTTCCTTACGGAGGAACTGATTGATGTATTGCCTTTTCACTTGTTCACTGTGTGGCCCCAGACCTCTATTAAAGCTCTTCAGCACAGACATAGTTATTCATTTCCTCTTGAGCTCTCCTGTTTTTTTTAAACCATAATTTATTTTCTTGTGTTTCTACAAGATGAGGGTCTTCCACTTCTCATTCACAGATGCAGACAGATATTAAGGGAAAAAGTATTTTTGGATACCCAGACTAGGTCAAGTACAGTCTAGGTCAAGTAGGAAATGATTTTTTAGACTTTGTCTTTAAATGATTCTTTATACAGTTCTACTGTGAAAGTGCACTTAAATTGTAACTGTGAGTACCAGGTTCTTCTGTAAATTAAAGTCCAGTCTCAACTGGATATTGAGCGAGCACTTGTGAAAATTCTGTTTTAAGTGACTTGTCTGCCATTGCACTAGAATTATGTGGCAAACAGAAAGCTTCAACTCCTCAGCCCTCTACTGCCTGAAGCAAGACCATCCTTCACCTTTTTACAGCTCCCCACCTCCCACATAATGCAGACTGGGGAAAAGTTTAATGAATCAAGTAGGGAATGAGCCCTGGGACAACAGCCCACCTGTTGCATTAGGAATTTTGATGCATCCTTAGAATTGGGCATGAGCTGAAAGAAGGATGAGAAAATAATCACGACTGCATGATTTTAATCAAAATGTATATCGTTATCATAAAACACATGTCCTAAGAATTGCATACAGTTGGACAAGCATCTATTTTTCTAGCATCTCCTAACTTTTGATGGATTTATCCTGTAAACTTAAAATGGCTTCTTCCACATTTATTTTATTGTATAGTACGCTTATCCACATGGGGAAACTGACTGGAAGAACTATTGTGGGGTAGAGTAAGCCTCAGTATTTATTTCTAGAGTATTTTTTAATAAGAATGTCCACAAGGGAGGCTATTCTGGACTAGCCATTGAAAAGTAACTTATCCTGTACTAGCTATTTTAGTCAATTTTCCCACACAGATAAGGGGTAACTTTATGTATTTTTAATGTGAAGCTTCTTATTTGTCTTCTTCCTACAAGCTTGTCTACATGAGAAAATTTACTGACAGAGCAATAGCAGTATATCTATACCACTATAATTATATCTGTATCTATATATTTTACGTACTTACAGCTACCAATGCAGATATTTTTATTCCAGAATAAAAGTATTCACACTGGGAGTTATTCTAGCATAATTTTACCACTATAGCTCTGCTAGTAATTTCCCCGTGTAAACAATCTCTGAAATAATCTAACCAAGATTTTCTCACATCTTCCCTTGCATGCGATTTTCTCCAAGCCCTTTATAAGACTGTATCAGTCATATATTTTTCTTTAACAATATGATGTGAACTATAGTGTTTGTTTACTTGAAATATGTACATGGAGTATCTTTGAACAAGGTCATTCAATACACTTGGATTTTTGCAGTGGTGGAAAAACTGTTAGTGCTTCTTACGTCCACTTTTAACCTGTTGGTTTTTGCTATGTAAAGGCTAAAGTTAACACTGATAAAAAAGCAAAGATCCTGAACTGTGTGATCTGGGAGAAAGGGCTGATCAGGAGGTCAGCTGTTACACTCCTAACACTGAAAGTCAGTGATTTCACTGCAGTGTGCTTGCCTCTCCTCTCCCACATTACAGTTCTTTCCTGTTTGAATTGTGCAAGTTTTTCCTGGCAAGAAAGGTCTCTTGCTCTATATTTGTGCAGTGCTAGGGTTTGTAAAACGGTTTGCTACCCTAACTAAGCCAACAAACAGTAATGAACATGCAGCCTAACCAGAAGTAGGAGGATTTGTCTGCTCACCAAATTTTGACCAATATAATTAGTTATATCAACTGACTCAAACCCTTCTCATTTCTAAGGAACATAAGTATGTTTTAGTTATAAGAATTGCCCTTGTAAGTCAATTAATAGTTGCTACCATTTTTGTGATCATTTTTAGCACTGATTACAATTTCTTAAGGTATGTTCACCTTAAGACCCAGCTATGGCAATGCTTGAGCAGTTCTTACTGGTAAGAGTCACTCTACTTAGCAATATACAATCTACTATATGGAAAAAAAATAGGAGGGAAAGCAGGTCAGGAAACTCAGCAGTGAGGAGGACAAACAGAGGGAAGAATTAAGGAGCGCCAGGGAGCAATACTTACTGCTGACTAACTGGCCAACACTCAAAGCTGAAGAGGAGGAGGATGAGGAGGAAGAAGAGGAAGCCTGACGCACTGGGCTTTGAGACATAGATGCTTGACTGTGAGCCAAATGCAGGAGGTTGGGTTGTGAGGCTGCTTGTCCCACTTGCGTCTGGGAGGGCTGATGGAGCTATATGTTAAAATGCAAAAATAGGTATTTAGAAAATGAAGCAGTAATAAGAAACTTTCAATGCACCATCTCACCCATCTACTTCTGGGGAACAAATCCCACAGGGAGCATTATATACCGTGGACTTAGTTTAGGTGACAGTGTCACAGCAGGAGCAATCTGAGCTCTTTTGCATTCTGACTTCCCATTTTTTCTCAGTTTAACCAGATATTTAATCTAATTAGAAGCTAAATACTTGTTTGAAATGGGTGATAAGAGACCTATGACATTGCCAGAGGCATTCTCATATAATAAATACATGTCCTTACCTGTTTTCTGACTGATGAAGTCAGACTTTTATTCCCTACATGGACTGTCCTAAAAATCAGCTTTTTTTCAGAGAGGTCCTTTCATACTAAAGGACCAGGGCCAAGAAGACCAGGAATGGGGAAGAGGAGATAAACTGGGGGGGGAATTCCTTTCCTACAGAAAAGAATAACTTGCTTAATAAAATTATATCTAGCAAATAAACAAAAAATATTGAAGCATCATTTCTCAGGCAATAAATTGTCCTTGCCCAAACCACAGAGCACAACTTCTGAGCCCCATTCACATCAGGACTGTGTCAAGCAAGACACCTAAATAGTTAAAAAGTCTAGTGAGTTATGGTAGATGCAATTGATACACTGTGATTCATTATTGTGGCTTCACAATTATCAGTTTTTTTTTTCAAATTTTACAATAGTGTTGTCTTTGGTTGTTCACTAGGGGAAAGGAAAGAAGCATTAATGTCTTCTGCCTGTAATAATCTTTCACTTGGGACTGAAAACTGGAAACGTTCTCTGGTACTGATTTTTACATAAAACTCCCAACAATTTCCAAGAGCATTCTCTACAGAATAAAGTATCTTACAGTTTTGCATTGGCTTCTAGTACTTCAGTACAGCCCTTTCAGAGCCGAAAAATACAGCAATATAGTCCTGATACACTCAAGCGACAGATACTTATGATACCTTTATTTTATGTTGATTGTGTGATATTGATCAAAAAAAGATTGCAAAAATGTACTAGAAAGGCTTCACTTTTAAATAATAGCTGTTATCTGCATTCTCAGAATGGGAGAAAGATAGAGGGCTATTTGACCTTGCTAGAATCAGTAATTTAAACCTAAGTTTAAGGAGTATGAGCTTTTCTCTTTGATATTTAACTGAACAAATTACTTCAGAAAAGGAGCTGTATTCATTAGTAATACTCAAATGACATGTAATATGCTCCCAGAATACAAAGAAATTACTGATGTTAAGTAGACAACAAATTGTATGGCATAGCAGATAAAGGTACCTGCACACATTCAAGATGACACTTTTCTGTGGAATACATGTGAACAATTTTAATGACATTATTCCTCTTATGGGTCTGTTTAAGAATGGAAAAAAATTACAACTTCTTTTTCTGCCTCCCACATAGAACGATGTAACACCCAATGAAGAAAAAACTTACCCTTTAACAATAATGAAAAATATCTATCTGAGCAGTTTTAACCTTTTCTGACTTCCCTAGGGATTAATAAACAAACAAAAAATTATGATCTCAAGGAGGTTTTTTTGTATTGAGCAAATCTTAGAAAAGAAAACTGACACTGTATCAAAGAGATAATAGTTGAGAAGCTGACTGAAAGGCTTCCAGATTTCAGACTTGTGCAAGCACTGGGCATCTTAAAAACATGTCACTAAGGGCTGGATTTTATCTATAGATAGCTCCCAACTCACAATGACTACTTTTATAACACCTTCTCCTAGGGAAGCAGCTCACTAGGAGGGCTGGCCTCCTCTGAATGCTGCAGAAATGGAATGCCCATCCATTATGCCTGCATCACTCCAGACTGCATCTTTCACAAACAGGCAGGCATTTGGGCTCTGTGTCTGTTGTTCAAGGGAATCTGTGGCAAAACTAAAGATTTCAGCCTAGGTGAGGGAAGAAAAGTACTGTGTTTAACTGAGTTAGATGCTTTTCCAACGTCTGGAACAGTCTTAAAGATGTTAGTGCTTATCTCTGAGGATGGAGAAGCAAATGTAGTAGCTGTTTTTAAAAAGAAAGACCTGTAAAATTATAGTCTATCAACTAAACATCAACCCGTGGAAAAATGCTGAAGAAAATAATAAAACAATTTGTAAGCACCTGCAAGAAAACAAGGTAGCAACAGACAACATGGATTGTTAGGAACAAACTGTGTCAAACCAATCTGATCTCCCTCAAAGACAGGGTAATTGGCCTTGGGGACATGGAAAAAGCAGTAGGTGGCTTGACTTTACAGGTCTCTCAACACTCCCTCATGTGACATTGTTTATAACCCAGGGAAACATAGTTTAGATGAAATTGCTGCAGAATGAATGCAAAAGTAGTTGGAAAACAAACCAAAGAGGACGGATATCTATCTGTGGAAGCAGAAGTGTGCATATAAGGTGTTTCACAGAAGTCTGTCCTCGTTCTGCACAATTTAGTATTTTCTTAGTGACCAGGATGATGGAGAAGAGAATATGCTTACTAAATTTATGTGCCAATTACATGTGATGAGGGACTTTTTATAGGTTGAAAAACAGGATTAGGATTCAAAATGATCCTATCAATTTGAAAATGCCACCAGTAATGCTGGGATGTTGCAAAAATTGCTGGGGGAACCTGTGGGGTTCCCGTGAGAGTGCTTAGGATCAAATCAGACAAATACTGGAACAGCTACTCTGCTTAAGAACAGCAGAGTGGAACAGATAATCTCTTGAACCTTGACTTCCCAGCCTTTACTTTTTATGGTTGTTTGCTGTCTCCCATCAGTATTTCTCAGGGATGATATGAGATGCAGATGTCAAATCCAACAGTTTCCAGTCATGCTACATGTATAGTCCCTGAACAGTTAAGTCTAGGAAATGGTTGATTCTCTGCACATGCATAGAACAATGCATTTGTAAATGTATTTTTGAAACAACTGGGATACCCAGAAGCCTGACAGTTTTCTTGTCAGACATCCAGAAATCTTTGGAAAATGTAAGACATTCTCAAAATGTAGCTGGGCAAAAAGGGATATGGCTAGTGAAATCTGGATGCACAGTGACCTTAGGTGTAACAGAAATGTATAAGAGATATTTACAGATTGTCAGTTTCTAACTTACTGCTTGTGAAGGAAAAGGGAGCAATGGGATTGGAGGGGCTGAAGAGTCACCTTAAGACTTGACCAGGGACTGAGGGAGGATTCCACTTTAACTTCCTACATAATTTCCGGCACAGCCCCTGTTTTACAAATATGACAGTTGGGCTGTAAATGTCTTGCTTAAAGAACAATGATAGTTATCTATGTCATGAAATTGCATTAAAATACTCTCTGTCTGTTCATCCACTGTAATTTCCACTCCAGAAATAGCCTTAAGGAGAGGCAATGATTAGATAATGAACTAGATTCTAGATGACAGAATCAATCTGAACTTGCAAAAGCTGACTTTTCCCAATTTTGGACACACACCTATGATATTAATTTTATTTACGACTGTTATGCATTTTCCATCCACAGACAGAAGGAGGCACAGAAATTACAGAAGCAGTTGCTGTAAGTGCCATTCTGTGTAGGTGGGTATGGTAGACACGCTGAGAATGATGCTGCGTGCCACACTGATCAGTATCTGGCAGGAATAGATGCATACATACTACAGCTAGAGGAGTATGAGAAGCATAAAGTGCAGCAGAATACTTCATAAGAATAAGCTGAAAAATGCAAAGGGCCTGATTCTTATTTCTTTTACATCAGTTTTACATGCTGCTGTCAACAGTGAGGGTGTATTGACTGATGACGATGCCATGGCAGCAAATATAGCCTAGATTTATGAAATTAAACAGATCATGAACACTTACTTTGCTGCAGACAAGATGTATTGAAGCACTACTTCAGTCTTTCAGAACTTTAAAAATGCCCTTGTTTGCACATCATTTCAATAAGAACTATTTTTACTTAAGTGTTACATAGTATATAATACATACCCATCACTCCTATTAGATGTTCCACAAAGTATGAACTTGCAAAGGTTTTAGCAACATCTCTTTAAGTTTCCAGGATGTCTATAAACCCAAGTGAGAATCATGTACTACTTGATTCTAGAAGTCAAAAGCTAGATTCACTTTCAAAGCAGAAAATGCACAAATGGAAGGAAGTGGCATAAACTGAGTAAATAGAGTAATGGCTTTAAAGGGAGAAGATCTTAGTGCTGGATATGCAAATCTATGGTTCCTATGCCGATATGGAGAACCAAAAAGAGAAAATAAACACTCCAATTTTTATTTCTTTTTCCTAATGAGATATGCTGTACTTAATTGTATCCATTTCTGCATGTGATGCTAGATTTTAGCAGAAGACATCTATACAGCTGCAGCAGAGCCTTTTGAAAGGCGTCAAAGAACTTGATAAGCATTATAAAAAGATGGGTGGCCGGCAGCTCGAGGGAGGACATTCTGCCCTTTTACTCCACTCTCCTGAGATCCCGTGTGAAGTACTGTGCTCAGTTCTGGAGTCCTCAGCACAGAAAGGACACGGTACTCTTGAAGTGAGTCCAGAGGAGGGCCACAAAGATGATTTGGGGGCTGGAGCACCTTACCTACAAAGGCTGAGAGAGCTGGGGCTGTTCAGCCTGCAGAAGAGAAGACTCCGTGGAGACCTCATAGCAGCCTTCCAGTACCTGAAGGGGGCCAACAAGAAAGCTGGGGAGGGACTTTTTACAAGGGCTTGTAGTGAGAGGAAAAGAGGTAATGGTTTTAAAATGAAAGAGAGTAGATTTAGGTTAGATATTAGGAAGAAATTCTTCACTATGAAGTTGGTGAGAAATTGGAACAGGTGGCCTAGGGAGGCTATGGATGCCCCATCCCTGCAGGTGTTCAAGGTCAGGTTGGATGGGGCCTTGGAGCAACCTGGTCTAGTGGGAGATGTCCCTGTCCATGCAGGGTGGTTGGAACTAGGTGATCTTTTAGGTTGCTTCCAACTCAAAC